TCATGTGCACTTGAAAATAATGTATATTCTGCTGCTTTGGTGTGTAATGCTCTGAAAATATCAATTAAATCCATCTGGTCTAATGTGTCATTTAAAGCTGCTGTTTCCTTGATTTTCTGTCTGAAAGATCTATTCATTGATATCAATGGAGGGGGTTAAAATCTCCTACTATGGCTATCGATCCCTCCTTTAATGTTGATGAAGATTTGCTTTCTGTATTTAGATGCTCCTGAGTTGGGTAATTGATCCCTTTATCACATGTAATGTACTTCTTTGTCTCTTATTATAGCCTTTGTTTTAAAGTCTAATTCGTCTGATGTAATAAATATTGCTACTCCAGTTTTTTATTACAATTTGTATGAAATATCTTTTTTCATCCTTTTACTTTCAGTCTGTGTGTGTCTTTCATTCTGAGGTGAGTCTCTTGCAGACAACATCTGTATGGTCTTGTTTTCTTAATCATTCATGTACCCTATGTCTTTTGATTGGAGAACTTAATCTATTTACATTTAAAGTTATTGATAAGTATGTATTTACTGCCATTTTATTTTTTATAACTATGTTCTTCTTTTTTAAGAAGCTCCTTTAACATTTCCTGTAATACTGACTTGGTAGTACTAAGCAGAGTCTTTGTTTTTAATCCATTTTATACTGGCAGCTCAAAAAAGATAACTGATCCAAATATGTACAGACTCTTGGAGATGTGCCAAAATGTCAAAAAACACATCCCTGGGAATTCTAATATGAGGGGTCTAATTCATAATTGTACAGGTGGAGAAACCAAGGCTAAGAAAAAGGAAGGATTTGTGCAGGCCACATTGAAGTTACAGCTCTACTTCTTCCCCTGGTGTTTTCCTCCAATTATCTGCTTGAATTTCTCTTTGTTATTAATTTTAATTCACAGAGGCTTCCCTCTCTTTCTTCTTCTGTTTTCCACTCTCATTGCCTTTTCTTTTTCTGCTTGTCCTGCTTTTTAAATAAGTTTTAAAAATACCTGTGTTGAGATATAATTCAGATACCATATAATTCATCCATTTAAAGTGTACAATTTCATGGGTTTTAGTATATTCAAAGAACTCTGCATCATCACCATAATCAATTTTAAGCATTTTAAATTCTAAAGGAATCCCATACCCATTAACAGCTGCTTCCCTTTTACTCACAATTTCCTCAGTCCTTGGCAACCACTAGTTTACTTTTTGTCCATAAGGATTTGCCCCTTTTGGACATTTCATCTAAAGGGAATCATAAAATATTGGGTCTTTTGTGCCTGGTTTTTCTCACTTAGCATAATGTTTTCAAGTGCCATTCATGTTATAGCAGGTATCATATTTCATTCCTTTATTGTCAAATAACATTTTATTGTAGTGATAGCCATGTTATGTTTATCTTTTCATTATTTGATGGACATTTATTTGTATTGTTTCCTCTGTTTGACTATTATGTTGCTGTGAACATTCATGTACAAGTTTTTGTGTGGACATGTTTTCATTTGTCTTGGGAGTAGGAATAGAATTCCTAGGAATAGAATTTCTGAGACATATGGCAAGTCTACAAACCTTTCAAGGAACTGCCAGGCTGTTTTCCAAAGTTACTACATCACTTTACATGTCTTCCAGCAGTGTATGACAGTCCTAATTTTTACAGATTCTCCTCAACAATTCTTATTATCCATCTTTTGATAATAACCACCATAATGAGTATGAAGTGCTATCTTGTTGTATTTTGTATTTAAATTTCTCTGATGTATAATGATGCCAAACATCTTTTCATGCGCCTATTGGCCACATGTATACCTTCTTTGGAGAAATGTCTATTCAGAGACTTTGTCCTTTAAAAAATTGGTTTATCTGTCTTTTTGTTGTTGAGTTGCAAGTATTTTTTTATATATTCTGGATACAGGTTTCTATTAGACATATTATTCACAAGTGTCTTCTCCCCTGTGGGTTGTCTTTCACTTTTTGGATGGCCTTTTGATGCACGAAAGTTTTAAATTTTGATGATGTCCAATTTATCTGTTTCTTTTTTTCTTTGACTGCATTTACTTTTGGTGTTATACCTAAGAAACTATTGCTTAGTGCAAGGCCAATGATTTAATCAATTATGCCTAAATAATAAAGCCTCCATAGAAATCTATGAATTATGAGATTCAGAGAGTCTCTGGGTTGATGAACAAGAATATATAGATATGCCAGCAGTGTATTGTACCCCAGGCTCCACTAGGACAGATGCTTCTGTGCTTGGGACCCCTGTGGACCTGTCCGGCTATTCATTCATATCTTTTAACATCCTTTGTAATAAACTAGTGATCTAGTAAGTAAACTGATTTCCTGAGTTCTGTGAGACCCTTAGCAATTTAATCTAACCCCAACAGAGGAACATGGGAATTTATAGCTAGTAGTAGGTCAGAAACATAAGTAACAACCTGGACTTTTTGTGACTAGCCTCTGGAGTGGGTTGGGGGCAGTCTTGTGAGCCTGAGGCCATAACCTGTAGGATCTGATGACTTTAGGTAGACAGTGTCAGCATTGAGTTAAACTGTAGGATACCCTGTTGATGGCACAGAATTTTTTAATATGGGAAAACACTATACATATCTGGTCACCATAATTTTCATTGTGAGTAGTGAGAAAGAAACAAACAGGAGAGTTTTTCTTTTTTGCAAGTGCCAAGACAGTTCATTAGGGGAATTAATAGTTTCTTCAACAAATATTATTGGGACAACTGGGGATTTACATACAAAAAAGATAAAGTTGGAATCCTATATCACACGTACATAAATAGTAACTCAAAATGGTCATATATTTAAATGTAAGAGGTAAAACCATAAAACTCTTGAAAGAATACATTATAAGAGAAAATTTTGACTATGGGTTAGACAGTGGTTTTTAGATATGATGCCAAAAGCATAAGAGATAAAAGAGAAGATGGAAAGTTGAACATTCAAACCGAGAAAATATTTTTCTGCAAATAATATAATCAAAAAAGTAAAAAAAAAAACCCTCACAGAATGGAAGAAATATTTGCAAGCCATATATCCAATAAGGTACTTGAATGAAGAATATATAAGTAACTCTTACTACTCAATAATGAAAAGACAAATAACTAAATTTAAAATAAACAAAGGACTTAGACATTGTCCCAAAGAACATATGTGAATGGCCAAACAAGCAATGAAAAGTTGTTCAACATCATTAGTTATTACAGAAATGGAAATCAAAATCACAGTGAGATAATACTTCACACCCACTGGGATGACAATCATCAAAATGATGGAAAATGACAAATGTCCAGGATGTGGAGAAATTTGAATGCTCATTCATTACTGATAACAATATAAAATGGTAAGCCACTTTGGAAAACAGTATAGCAGTTCAACAAATTGTTTGTAAAACAAAATTAATTTTAGACTATAATCAAGAGTAGAAAGCATTGATTTGTGTAATAAAGAGCTATAGCCCAGAGGATACATTTATGTAGCAACCTAAATTGTATTCCACCAAGACAAAGGGCAAGTGTCTTTTATAGCGAAAGTTCTTTGCCCAGACTCTTAATTAGGTCTATTTTATGTGAATGAGGTATCCAAACTGCGCAATTCTGATTGGATAGGGCAGGTCTCAGTCTGTTGGTAGAAATACTAAACCAGAGTTTCCTTCCCTGCAGTGGTTGACTCAGGTGGTGTGAACAGTGGGCATAGTGTGAAAGCCGGAAGCTGAGAGTTCAGTCTGAGGTTCTTCCCAGTGTACAGAGTATGCAAGAAGCCCCTGTCAGCAAATGGCCACTAGGTTCTATTATTTATAAAATTTGAGCCCTCAGTTGACAATAGTGAGTTCATCTCAGCAGGTAAATTCCTGCTTTGGGTTCACATCAAATGAATCTTTCTTTTCAGGGTCAACATGTTAAACACAGAGTTATCATATGATTTAGCAATTGCACTCTTAGGTATGTATGTAAGTGAAATAGAAACATACCAACACAAAAACTTGTTTAAGAATGTTCACAGTGGCAGCCAAAAGTAATAACTTATAAATGGATAATGTGGCATATTCATGCAATGAGATATCATTCGATAATAAAAAAAGCAGTGAAATACTGACACATGCTGTAAAATTGATAAACCTTGAAAACATTACATCAAGTGAAAGAAACTAGTCACAAAAGATCACATATTGTATATTTCCATTTATATAAAAAGTCCAGAATAGGCAATTCTACAGAGATAGAAAGTAAGTCACTAATCAGTGGTTGCTTGTGGCTGAGGTGTGTGGGAGTAGAATGGGCTTGGAGAGAAATGGAGAATGACTGAAAATGGATATTGGGTTTCTTTATAGTGTGATGCAAATGTTCTAAAAATTGGTTGGTGGTGATGTTTGGTAAGCTCTGAATATTATTAAAAACAGTGAATTGCTTACTTTTAATGGGTAAATTTTATATTTAAAATGTATGTCAGTAAAAATGTTAAAAAAGAGTAAGCCAGTACCTAGCATATGATAAGCATTTAGTAAATGTAAACTATGATATCTAAAAACATGTCAAGCACAATTCTTTGAATAGTTTGCTATCTGTCTGTAGTGATGAAGTAGAAGTTTGTGATGTCAAAAATGACTGAAGGTCTAAGAACACATGGAAAGGGTGGTGGCAATGACAGAAAGAAGGCATCTGGCAAGGAAGCTAATTTGGGGATGGAGGAGAAATAGGAATTTCTGTTGGGGCATGTTGAATGTTCAAGTGGAAATGTCTACTGAAGATTAATGAAAAAAATGGATTTTGTCCTCATAACAGGAGAATTTGGGATAAATAAATAGAAAATGAGCAAGAGAGAGTGTTCCATTCTAATGAGACTGGGGAGATGGCAAGTTGATTAATACAATAACACTATATATAGTGAGGCAATAGATTCACTATAGATAGTAATATATCTATATGTTACTAAGCAATAGATAGTAATATTTAAGTAATTTAAAAAAGTAAACTGGTTATTTAAAAATGGTTTTTTATAGGTTTCTTTAGAAGACATATCCCTCACAACTCCCATCCCTCAATGTCACCCTTATATTCATGAATGAAGCTTTGTCCAGTATACAACGGGCCATTGCCAGTATCATGAGCTAGACCCCTTTGAGACTCCTGAAAGAGATCATCTTGATGGACGATTTTAGCTCAAATGGTGAGCAGCTTGATCAAGGAATAGTAATAAAAATGACCATTTATTAACTGTGCTAGGCTGGAAAGGGGCTTTAGCATAGAGTTTAGGACACTTTGGACTCCTCATATATGAAAAAGAAAGGAGTCATTTATTGATTCCTGTTTGCACTGGGCACATTAGTCTTCACAAAGTCATCATTGCAATTGCACAGGTGAGTTAATAAAGACAGACAGAGCACATAGTGTGCCCAAATTTCAAGGCCGGTCAGTGGTAGAGCTGAGCCAGGCCCAGGACTATGTGACTCCAAAGCCACCTGTGCCCTGTCTATGTACCATGGGAGAGGCCTGAGGGAGTAAAGTGGGGTCCAGTGGAGAGTCTAAGACACTAAGATTGGATTAAATTCATTCCTTTTGAGGAAAAAAACAATCTTCCCAGGTATTTAAGCCCAGAGAAAAAAAGGAGCTTTGGATGCTGAGACTCTTTACAGTGGTAATGTCTTTTGCTGGCAGCATGCCCCCTCCCCAGCCTGGTCTAACCCACCCAAGGAGGACACATGGAGAACTGGGAGGTAGTGGGTAAACCTGAGTCCTCGCTTTCTGGGGTTTCAGAATCCGAGTTCCTCCTTTACAAGCTCTGTGCTCTTGAGTAACTTAACTTCTCTATCCTCCAGTTTTCTTATTTGCAAAACATGGATGTTGATAATAAACTATTTCATAGACTGTAATGAGAATTGAGTGAGATAACAATCATAGTGAATATAGTTTGTTCTAAGCACCTTACTTATGTTAAGTACTTTAACCATTACAAAAATCCTACAGGGAAGGAGCCACTTCTTTGCTTAGTTCATGGATGTAAAAAACTAAGGCATAGACTGGTCAAGGAACTTGTTTAACATCAAACAGCTGGTAAATGACAGAACTGAGATTTGACCATAAACTTCAGTGGCTAGAGCTAGAGCTAGCCACTGTCTTCATTGATATAACACATGGTTTATGAGTAGCATTTAGCGCACAGTACCCACTCAGCAAGTGTTAGTTCTTAATTTTATTAATTTTTGGCATCAAACAGAAGAAATAGAATTAAGTCATAAACCCAGAGATTTGGGCTAGGAATAAGGAGGAAATTTCTAATAGTAAGGTCTGTGGAATGGCAACCTGGGGGAGGAATAGTTGCTCCTTCTCTGAGCATCTTTAAGTACCAGACAGGTTACTGCAGCTTCAAATTAGAGGCAGTTTGACCTGAGAGGAAGAGACAAATGACTTCTTATACTTTCTCTTTTTGATTTCCAGAGACTAAAAACATTCTTTTTTTTTTTTTTACTGTTCAGTTTGTCAAATATATGTTCTTTATAAACACTGAGTTTAAAAACATTCTTTTTCATGGTTTAATACCTTCCTCCCTTGCCCTTCCAATATAATTGCACAAAAAATGGAAAGGTACAATTCTTAAGCAAAATCCACCAAAAAACAAAGAAAAGAGAATGGCTGATATCATTCATTTCTAGGGATGGAGATCAACATAAACTTTCACATTTGGTTTTCAAGCAAAAATGAGGAGCTTAATGAGAAAGACCTCTGTTCTGGACACCTGAAGAGACCCTGGCTCCATTGCCTGCTTCTGAGATGACCTGAGGCAAGTCACCTCACCTCTCTGGGACTCAGCTTCTTTATGGGGCAAATGCAGGGGCTAACCTGAAGGATCTCTGAAGGTATCTTTTCCTATGAAAAAAAATTAGTGAATCCATCAGTCCACATTCTATGAAGAGCAGATAAGAAGTAATTCAAGACTTTTTCATGTGGAACAATGAAATAAAAAATACAAGGTTATAAACATAGGGTAGAAACATAACAAAACCTTCTATTGTTCTATACTGGGCCCATACCATATAACATATCCTTCCTATGTGGGTTGGGAACTCATTTATGTTTTCCATAGAGATAGTTTATTTGGATGGGCATGGAAGAGGGAATTGTTAATCATTCTTTGACTGTTGTCACTGGGACAGGAATCAACTTCTCTCTCATTAAGCATGGAAGCATTGGCTAGGTTAAGCCTACACTTAACATAGCTCAAAAATCTGTTTTGTATTAACTGAGAAAAGTAATTGGAAGTCTGTATCTTGCATGCCACAAGAGAAATTTACTGTTCATGTGACTTTGAAAGTAAGTCACTCAGCTACTTTATGCCCCCTTTTCCTCATCTGTGACCTGGGGGAAATAATAGTGCCTTCCTGATAGGACTATTCTAAGGATTAAATAACACATGTAATATCCTCAGAACAGAGCTTGCTCCCAGTAAATGTTAGCTAGCATTATTAGTCCTGTTTGTCTCAGTATCATTCGTAGAATTGTTGGAATGCCACAACCAGGTATTAGAGGTATATTTCCATCTTATTTTTCCCTAGATGTAAAGCTTAATTTGCATCAGGTCGAATGTCTCAAGTGTCAACAGAGCTAACCTAAGTTTTTCAGAAATTAATTTAATATAGGTGGAACCCTGTATTTTCTGTCCAATTCTGGACAAATTCCTCAATCAACAACTATTTTTTTAGTTTTTACCATGTGCCAGGCATTGGACATGGAAGAGAATGTCAGTGATTTAAGAAGTTCCCATTTTAATTGATGAGGTAAGACAAACATATGAAGACACTGCAGTATATGAAAGTAGTGTGCCAAACTGAGGGAGCTGTCAGTGAGTGCAAGAAAGCCCAGAAATGGTTGGGATGACCTAGGAAGTCTTGCTGGAGGAGGGAGTCTTGGATTTGGACTTGAAAATTTGCTAGGATTTGAAAAGGCAAAGAAAACAGAGGGAGACTGGTTGTGTGGGGAGGGGGAGATAGGGAGTAGAGAAAAAATGTGAGCAAAGATGCAGAAGCTAGAAGCACCCTGAGCTGACCAGCCTGAAAGAAAAGATTCTGGGGGAGGTTTGGTGGTGGGGGCAGGACCAATTGGAGAGCAAGACTGAGAAAGGAGCATAGGTCTACTTTAGAAGATCCATAGAGCATCTTTAATTTATATGTTGGACTATAAGCATTATTTCTGACAGGGTGACTCAGAATCTACAACTCAGAATTTTGGGATTAGAAGGATATTGACATGTTATCCAGCCTTCTCTGAGTTTTGGAAACAGAGATCCTCTAATGGTAAGTGACACAGAATTAGAGAGTGAGGGAACCCAAATTACAGTCTAGATATCCAGGCTCCATGGGAATCCCTCCTCTTTTCTTTTTTCTTGTTCCTCTCTTCTCCCCTCCCCTCCCCTCCCATCTTCTTTCCTTCCCTTCCCTTTCCTCCCCCTGCCCCACTATTTTGGTTTCCAAGTTTAATTCAAGAACTCATGCAAAATATTCCAGGTAGATGAGTTTTGATCCTCATCCTTCTTCTTTCTTTCATCCTGGTTTATCTGGCACTAACAGAATTTCTAACTGTCTTCACTGTTAGCAGCTACATGTAACCAATCAAACAGATTATTCTTCAAATATTTTTTTAAAAAGGAACCTCAGATATTATAGTAAGCTTGGTCTTGTTCCTTTTTAAAAATATTTTATTTATTTATTTTTAGAGAGAGGGGAAGGGAAGGAGAAAGAGTGGGAGAGAAACATCAGTGTGTGGTTGCCTCTCATGTGTCCCCTATTGGGGACCTGGCCTACAACCCAGGCATGTGCCCTGACTGGGAATCGAGCTGGCGACCCTTTGCTTCACAGGCCTGTGCTCAATCCACTGAGCTATACCAGCCAGGGCTTGGTCTTGCTCCTTTTAATAGATGTACACCCTCCACTGAGAGTTCTAGCTTTTCTATTCACTTTAATTCTTTCATGAAGAAATTGTTCCAAATGGGCAGAATTTATGATTCCATCTCCTGCAGGGTGGGAGCAGTCAAAGGTGAACTCCAGAACCTACTCCTTTGTTTTTGCCCTGCTTTCCTGAAAGTTCTTTCACAGATGCTATGGTAGCAGCAGAGGAAGGAAAAAATGTGTCAACCCCTTCTGATTACTTTCTGAAAGTAGTGACCGAGTGAACGTATGGAGTTTCCACCTTCTGTTTCTTTCAGTAGGAGCAAACATTCTTCAGGTTCATTGGCTCTCTGTAACACCTTCAATAGTTGAGTCAGTAACCCTGGAGTGTAACTGGGAAAGTTCTAAAGTGGGTAAAATTTTTAGTACCATAGTCATGTCAGTTTTGATTTCAGGTCCTGATCACTCCAGGAGACACAAATCTACTCTTCCTCTGAGAAAGGAACCAGAAAGAATCTCATACCTTGGCAATGGGGGGTAGGAGTCAGGGAGAGGAGATGGAGGGAACTCTTGACAAACCCAACCAAACACATACATAGTTCTTGAGTCAGCATGGCATGGTGGGTAAACATAACAGGGCCCATACCTAGATGTATGACTTAAACAAGTTTCTTAACCTCTCTGCAAGTCAGTTTTTTCATCTGTGAAGTGGGGATACAGAAGTGTCCTTCTCATAAAATTCTTTGAGAATTAAATGAATTAATATTATCAGGGAGTCATTTGGTTAGATATTTTGAACCCTGCTTAGTGATTTTCATCCAAGTTGTTTTCATGCATAGGAGAAATTCAATGGGTAGGCTCAGCCAAAGAACAAATGCATAGACAGACTTTATAAAGGGAGGCAAGAGAGGGAAGAAAATAGCTGTAATCAACCTGGGAATAGCGAATCTTGTTTGCATAATTAGGGGGATAAATTCATTAGCTAGAAGTTGGAAAATAGTTCAATTTGGGCATTTTGTCCCAGTTGGTCCTTGAGTAGGCCAAGTAGGAATAGCTAACATATGACAAAAGAATTTCAGTTGTTTATGTTTTCTTTAGAAAATCTTGAGTGTTGCAGGAGAGAAGATGTTGCAAGCTGTCTGCAATGTCTGACCATTAGCACTTCTACCTTAGTTAGGTCAGGTCTGTCCTACTCATTCTTGTTAAAAATTTTCAATATACATAAAGCTTGTATACACTGGTACATAGTAAGCAGTATTATTATTTAAGGTAGTTTAACTTTGAGGGAAAGGAGATTAAAAATGGTAACAGTAAGCCTGAAAATGGAAGGGAGGACAGGTAGTTACAGGGGAAACAATCAAGGCTATAGAATTGCTCATCCTAAGCTGGAGGTAGTTCAACCACTGTCATATGTAGAATAGTATAAATTTTCTGTACCAAATTGATTATTCAACTCAGAATTTCTATAGGTGTGCATTTCGTTGGCAGGAGAACTAAAGGCAAACTTGAACAAGAGTATTAAGATTTATAACCAGAAGTATCCACAACTACTGAAAATAGTCTGGCACACAAGGAGAAAAGGTCTTGCGTAAGCACACAACACTGGCTGGGAAGTGGCCATGGCTAATGCAGTTGCCATCTTGGATGCTCATGTTAAAGTGAACATAGCCTGGTAAGGCTCCAGGAGGTTTATTCCCCTGAAAAAGGGGAGAAAGGAGATACTGCACATGCTGAATACAAGATAGGGTAGTGTGGAAATAGGGAAAGCCAACACCATACCTTAAACAAAGGGCAGCTACTAAGATGGGATGCTTTTACTCAAGGATTTTGGTTGGCTAAGCATAGTAATCTAGTGCTAGAGAAAAAAAAAACAATGGTCTTCACTGTTGACACTTATTCCAACCCTGATTTTACCAAATACTTTGTGACTTTGTATACATCACTTCATTTAATTTGATATTCAAGTCCTTATCTGTAAAATGAAGAGATTATCTTTTTGTAATTCCTAAGGTTTTCCCAGACCTGAAATTACATGCTACAAAGACAGCTGTGTTCTTTGCAGAATGTAGGAAATCAGATAGTAAAGAGACATCATTCTGGAAACAGGGAGACAAAAGAGATAATGTAAATTCTGATAGAATAGTGATGGTCCTGGTTCTCAGTGGCTTGGGTGTAGTGTTTGGCTGCTGATTTCAAATATACTTTTGACATGGGTCAGCTTCTAACATCCCCAGCTATCCCCAAAACTGCACAGCTCTTCTGGACTCTGAAGAGTTCCTCTCACCACCCATCACAGCCTAAATGAAGAAAGTGCTCAAAGTCAGGGCAAGGTGCTTAGACCAGCTTTGTCTGCTTGCTTCTGCTGCTTGCCCTCATATCCAATCTGGGTTTGTTACATGTTGTTCTTCTAGGGATGAGCCCATCTTGGCTCTGATTCAGGAAGCCCACACCATGATTGTGTCATCTGTGTTTGACGACATTCATCTTGACACCTTTGAACTGACTAAATATGAATTGGCAGTTGATGGGTTTAATTGGGAACTCTGGTGCTGCTATGATTTACTTCCAAAGGCCTAGATTGATCTGAGTGATGTCACTGCTCCAGTGAAGTAAGTCTGAGAGGGCTCAGGAACTTGGTTAGCACATGGGAAGTCAGGCATATGGTGTGTGGTGGTGGTAATGGAAGAAGGGTGGGAGGGATTAGGGACAGGGGATGACAAAAAAACAAGTGAAAATTAAAGTTAAAAAAAGATGATACCAGATAAGAGATTATAGACCCTTAGGACTATTTTAGGGCTTTCAAGTAAAATAAAGCAAATTTTATGTTTTAGAAAACGTTTGGACCATTTTAAGTATTTATCAGTCTATGAAGTAGAGATACCAAGATGAAAAAAAATTGACTTTTAGTAAAATTTGAGAAAGTTTATGAGAACAACAGAGAATGAAGAAAGGCTATACATACTTAGTCTAGCTGGAGGGTTCAGGGAAAGCCTACAGGATAAGGGGCTTGGGTCGAGTTTCCAAGGCCAAACCATCACTGGCTTCCTACCCTGACTTCCATCCTAACCCACACATTACTGAGAGGTTAGCAACTCTTTCTTTGTGTTCCACAGGAGTCCTTCTATCATGGGCATCCTGGTTGCCGACAGGTTCTTCCTGGGAAAGATCAGATTTGTGGATAGTGGGATGCTGGTCTATGGAGGAGAAAGTGTGGAACTTAGCCTGAGGGTGGTACATTTCTATTCTCTTTATGGGACAAAGCAGAGAGAAATAAATGATGGTGACAAATTGCTGGAATCATGGAAAAAAGCTGAATATCATTGGCTCAAGATGTGGGCAAATCCTCATGTTTCTAGGTCACTAGAGAGAGGCAACGGGACTTGGGGAGTGGAGTTCTTTGTGTAGGTATATGTAATCTAGGACACATGGGTGGGAAGGGGTAGAACTGAGGCTCAGCAGATGGTGTCCCTATTTCCTTTGAGGAATCCAGGCATTTTTCCAGCATTTCCTAGAATAAAACAACTTGGCAGACAGCTCTCTATAAGACCAAAGAGAAACTGGGCAGAGGGACGAGGGGATACAGGTGTGTAGGAAGCGAAAATTGTTCCTGAATGGACAGTTAGAGCAACTGACATGATGACATGCGTTCATGCTGAATGTCGTCTAGACTAGGACAAACAGCCAGTGATGGGTTCCATGGGTTCTACAACAATAGAATCCTCAAACCACTTCTAGTTCTGACCAACTTTTTGTGCACTGGCTTCTCACTTCAGCAATGATGCCTCTTCTCTGCCCCTGCAGATTCTCATGCTTTCTCAGATCAAATGAACATCCTGAATTATTTTGCTTTATAAGGGAAGTCAGGGTACAAATTAAAATGATTAGAGAAATGACAAGTGCAAGTTCATATTACCTCGGTGTATCAGTAAGCTATTGTCACAAAGATGCTGGGTAACCAAGCACCCTAAACTCAGTGACTTAAAAAAATAATTTATTAAAAAAACACCCCCAAAACCAATAATTTATTTTCAGAGATCTGCAGGTCCAGCTGGAGTTTGATGGGGCTCTTAAGGCCTCAGTTTGGAACTAGTGCATTATTTCTTCTGTTCAATCCAATTTGTCAAAGGACATGTGATAGCCAAGCCCAAAGTCAATGGGCGGGGAATGTCTTCTGTCTACAACGAAGCCATGAAGAACTAGGGCCAATAAGTTCAACCCATCATGATCAGTTTGGAAGAGGTTCTATGTATAACATATTCCTTCCGCAGTATTGTTTTGCCTCTTCTGTACAATCTACAGGCCTTCTTTAAAAAGGCCCTGACTCTTGGGTTTGTGACTGTTCTCATTAGTTTACCCCTCTTTCATTTTCCAGCCTAAAGCTGAACTTCTTTTTAAAAATTCTCACCCAAGGATATATTTCTTGATTTTAGAGAAAGCAAGGTGGGGGTGAGGGAGTGAAAGAGAGAGAAGGAGAAAGACATTGATTGATTGATTGATTGATTGATTGCCTTTCGTACATGCCCTGACTGGGGATTGAAACTGAAACCTAGGTATGTGCCCTGACTCAGGATCGAACCCACAAATTTTGGTCCATGGAATAACACTCCAACCAAATGAGCCACCCAGCCAGGGCCTAAGGCTGACCTTTTAAAAGAGGTTGCATAAAAATAGTGAAAATTTCACAGGTATTGGACTCCAGATATTAAGTCCTACTTTTCCACAAAAAGCTTGTGTTATCCTGGGAAATATATAAATTCTCTAAGCCATACCTGCTACATCAAGAACCTAGCATGAGGCTCAGGCCGGGTAGGTCACTTGATTGGAGCATCATCCTGAAACACAAAGGTTGTGGTTACATACAAGAAACAAGCAATGAATGCATAAAAAAAGTGGAATAACAAGTTGATTTTTTCTTTCTCTTTCTCTGTCTAAAATTAATTAAAAGAACAAACCTAGCATGATGAATGACACATGACTTCTGCTTGATCAATAGTTAATAATAAGAATGTCAGGATGGTGGTATAAAAAATGCTGGATCTAGGTTCTAATCCTGGCTCTGCTAACTCCATGTGGACTGAGCTTCTATAAAATGGCTCCTCCCACTTTCCCAGCTCCAAAATTCTGAGGCCAGGTGACCTGTGGTCCATTGTGTTTTCTGGAGGAACAAGATAATTTTCTGTCTAAACCTTATTCTGGCCTACTTCCTTCAGTTTCTTTCCAACTGAGGCTGGTGACCACATATTGCACCTACTTAAGACTTAAACAGGACCCCACATTTATATATTAACAAATAAAGTTTGAGTCCCTATCTGGATTTTCCATTAAGCCACAACCATTCTTTGGCAAAGAGAACTACTTTTTACCTGTGGTCTTGATCAGCTTTCCTATTTCTGAAATGAAGAGGCGTGTCCTTGTTTTAAATACCCCATGAGAGTGATTGTGCAGCTAAAATGTAATAAATAGTTTGACATGATTTTATTAAGATATGAATTAGAATTCTTGTTTGGCTTCTGGAATAGATTCCAAAATAACAGAGGTTTAAACAAGGTAGAAATTAATTTCTCTCTTCCATAACTGTCTGAACATCTGTAGTGCAAGACTGAGATGGCAGCTCCAGGGTGACAGAGTCCAAGACTCTCCCATCTTGTGGCTCTGCCACACTCAACATCACGCCTATGTTCTAGTTAGTAGGAAGAGAAAAGGGGTGTGGGGGGAGAAAGAGTACGTCTTTTTTTAAGGCTCTACATGCAAGTTGTGTATATTGTATTTCATTGGCCACTACTGGCCATATGACCACATCTATATGCAAATGAGGATAGGAAACATAGATTTCAGCTAGTTGGTTATGTGCCCAGTTATTCCTTTGATGACTATGGATGTATGGGGGAATAGATATTGGGAGTACTACTAGTCTCTAGCACAAAAATATAAATGCAAAAATAATTATTTTATGCATGGTACTTAGCAGAGTCTTGAAGATGACCCTAGTTATGTTGTGGCTGGGGTGTTCCTATCCACCAGAGCTTCCTGTGAATTTGGCTGGAACCCGAATTCCCAACTTAGGACCCGGAGCCCTTCTTCGCATTTCTGTGTTCCTTGTCCTTTCCCCTGCTCTCCCTTTCTGCATCTAGACTGCCTCTTCCTGTTTCCATTCCCCTGTCCCACATGTCAAACTCTCCCATTTCAGTTCCCACAGAAGTCTTCTTTCTTTTAACATTTTGTGATTTTTGAAAATAAATTTTGCTGGAAACGTGGGGAGTGTCAGGGAAGGGTCATTCTTTTTCTATTCTTGGATAGAATAGTTTACCCACATTCAGATTCCTGGGTTTATATGCATGGTCATTTGCCTTTCAAAATATTTAAGCACGTGTTAGGATCTGTGTTTCCCCAATAACAGAACTTGGAGAACATCAGAGCTGCATGGAGTGTTTTATTCTGACATCTAGAGGCCATGGCAGTGATGTTGTGAATGCATGAGTATAAATGGAGATGGAGCAGTGGGGCTGATGGGCCAGAATGTAAAACCAACATAATGGCAAGCACTTTGTGAATTCCTTGTGCTGTGCCAGAACTTAACACGTGGACTGAACTGCTAGAATGTCAAATCCAGCTCTGTCATCTACTCACTAGTATACATGGGCAAGTTACTTAAGTGGGGATAATAATAATACCTACATGTTGAGGGTTAAATTTATGAAAAATACCAGGATAGTATGTGGCACAAATTAAGCCATTGCTATTATAAGCAGAAGCTTCATGTCTGCCTGTGTGTGTCCACAGAAAGAGGGGTAGATGTTTGGCAAGTGGGAATAAACTGAGGAAATAAACTTTGAAAAGTGTTGGTCAAGGATAACAGTAATATTACTTTATGAATATAAATTCTGATTTTTATCTTTTCATTTGAATTTGAGCTTTCTTGTGCCAATGATTACTTTTTTTTTGGAAATTCCTATGGTTTAGAAAACTCCTTTAACTAGAAAAATTGAGGTTGTATTTGGGCTTTTAAATGTTTGGCTACAGAGAATAAAATCTGAAAACAAATTAGCTGTAACTTCCACATGGTCCTAGGAACTAATGAGGGAAAATAGAAGAAGAGGTGCTTTGAATTAAACACAGATGCTGCTGTTCCCTGAGCACGTGTTCTGTCAGTCATTTAGTCCACCTGACAACCCACATGGTGGCTGTGCTGATCATGAGGAGTGTTTTACTCTGAGTCATAGGGTGTGCAGTGACAAATTTGAACACAGATCAGCCTGACTTCAAAGCTTGGCTTTTTTTCAAGAGGCAAGGGAAAGGAATCTGTGGTTTCAGAAGCTGAGGAAGGGAGGAAAGAAGTTGGAAGTCAAATAAGGGGCCTGGGTCCTCAGGTGCTTAAGTGAACCAGCAGGACTTGCTCACCCTGCCTCAGGGGCTCCACAGGTATGAGTGCAGTAGGTTGCCAACCTCTGCCAAATAGGCTAATATCTCCTCGAAATTACAATTCACTTGGGCAACCATAAAGAAAAGACACTGGAGCCATTGCGTCAATCCCATAGCATTAGATAGTTTAACCATCTTCCAGGACAAAGATCATATTTTTAAGCCAAATATTAGACTGTGTGGTCTGACAAGCATGTCTGTACTCATCAGAATGTCAAAAAATTTATAGTTATATCATAAGTCATGATATCTCTTAGTCAAGAATTGTCTGTATTTGTTCTCTGTTGCTGTGTAATAACATCACAAACTTAGTGACTTAAATCAATACATATTTATTATCTCTCAGTTAATGTAGCTTAGGAGTCCATTCTTGATGAGCTTCATCCTCTGCAAGGTTGCAGGCAAGTCATTGGCCAGGGCTGTCCTCATCTAGGACTGACTGAAGAAGCATCTGCTTCTGGGCTCATGTTAGCAGCATTCAGTTCTATGAAGTCACCCAGACCAAGGAGGCATTCAGGTTTTGGCTGGCTATCAGTTAGAAGCTACCCTTCATTTCTTGTACTTTCCATATTGTTGCTCACAGCATGGTGGCTTGTTTCTTGAAAGCCAGCAAGAGTGCATCTCTTAGCAAGATGTACACCACAATCTTATGTAATGTAATTACACACATGCAATCATGTACATACTATTATGTTGGCCATATCCTATTGGTTAGAAGATCGCCACCCACACTCTTGTGAAGACCAGGAGGCAGGGATTAGGGGGCCACTTGAGAGTCTATCCCACCCACCACCTTATATCTGGCATGCAGAGGGGCCCTGGGACCCTAACTGCAGTGGGATCAGCTCAGGGCATGGTCCTTCTCAGGACCCTGGCACTTTCCTTGGAGATAAAAGAGCAGGGACAGAACTTCCTTTGGTTTGTTCAGGAAGACTTGGTGAAGGGGGTAGAATTTCTGGAACTGTCTGAATGACAAGAGAGAAGTTTGGTAAACTTCTAAGGAAAGTTGTTTTAGATAAGTGAGTTGGGAGGTGGCATAGTGATAGGAGTGGGAGGACTGAATTTACCTCCTTTTAGAAGTGGTTCTAAAATGTTTGTCTCTGTACATCAATAAGCCATGCCACTTATTGACCATGGGGTCAAGCTTGTCCAGATGGTTTTTTCCCTCTTCTCTTGCAGGCATGGCAGTGTGGAGGAAGAACTGAGGTCTTGCCCTGCTCTTGGATCGCTCACCTACAGAGACACCAAAAGTCCTGTGCCTTGGATCTGATTTCTGCCTGGAAGCACAATGCTGTCAAAGTGGACAAAATCTGGATGGATGAATAAAAACACATGGTTTACTTGACCTGGAACATACCTCTCCAGGTTTGTCATGGAACTGAATAGAAGCAGGGAAGAAGAAAGGAGGAGGAGGTATGGCAGTGGTGGGAAATGGGAGGAGATACAGCAAAAGTACCATACCAGCCCTAAAAAATAAGGGTAAAGTCTAGATGGTGTGATGATAATGACACAACATTTATGTGGCAATATACCATGTTCTAGGTACTTAGTCACTACAACAGACCTATAAGGTAGGTTTATTTTTTATTTTATGTATTTGTTTATTTTTAAATTGCAGTTGACATTCAATATTATATTAGTTTAGGTGTACAGAATAGTGCTTAAACATTTGTATAGCATAAAAAGTGTTCCCTTGGATAAGTCTAGCACCCACTTGGCACCATACATAGTTGTTGCAATATTATTGACTACATTCCCTATGCTGTACTTTACATCCCTGTGACTATTTTGTGACTGGTAATTTTTACTTCTTAATCCTTCACCTTTTTCACTCAGTCCACACCCCCCTCACATCTGGTAACCATTACTTTGTTCTCTGTATCTATGAGTTTATTCATATTTCATTTGTTGATTTATTTTGTTTTTTAGATTCCACATATAAATGGAATGATATGATATTTTCCTGTTGCTGTCAGACTTATTTTACTTAGCATAATTCCCTCTGTGTCCACTCATGTTGTCACAAATGGCAAGATTTCATTCTTGTGTATAGCTGAGTAATATTCCAGTGTATATATGTACTACATCCTCTTTATCCATTCTTCTATTGATGGACACTTAGGTTACTTTCATATTTTAACTGTAGTAAAAAATGCTGCCATGTACATAGGAGTGCATATATCTTTTCAAATTAATGTTTTGTATTTCTTTGAATAAAAACCCAGAAGTGGAATTGCTATGTCACTTGGTAGTTCTATTTATTTTTTTGGCAAACTTCTGTATTGTTTTCTATAATTGCAGCACCAATTTACAAAACCACCAAGAGTACATAACTGTTCCTTTTTCTCCACATCTTTGCCAACACTTGTTATTTGTTGACTTACTGATGATAGCCATTCTGAGAAATGTGAGGTGATACCTTATTATGGTTTTAATTTGCATTTCCTGAGGATTAGTAATGTTGAACATCTTTTCATATGTCTATTGGCCATCTGTACATCCTCTCTGGAAAAGTGTCTATTCAGGTCCTCTGCCCATTTTTTAATCAGATCGTTTGGTGGGGGGGATTGGTGTTAAAATGTATGCATTCTTTATGTATTTTGGATATTAATTCCCTGTTAGATGTACCACTGGCAAATAACTTCTCCCACTTAGTAGGTTGTCTTTTCATTTTGTTGATCATTTCCTTCACTATGCAAAAACTCTTTCATTTGCTATAGTCCCATTTGTTTATTTTTATTTTGTTTCTCTTGCCCAAGGAGATAAACTAAATATATATATCTTACTAAGAGCAATGTCAAAGAATTTAGTGCCTGTGTTTTCTGCTAGGATTTTTATGGTTTCCAGTCTTACATTCAAGTCTTTAATTTATTTTGAATTTATTCTTGTATATTCTTTTGCATGTCTGTCCAGTTTTCCCAACACTATTTATTGAAGATACTGTCTCTACCTTATGGTATATTCTTGCCTGCTATGTCATGGATTAATTGACCATATAGGTGTGGGTTTATTTCTAGGTTCTTTTTTCTTTCTTTTTTTAAAAAAGATTCTATCTATTTATTTTTAGAGAGGGGGGAGGGGAAGGAGAAAGAGAGGGATAGAAACATCAATGTGTGGTTGCCTCTCACACGCCCTTCGCTGGGAACTTGGCCCACAATCCAGGCATGTGCCCTGAATGGGAATTGAACTAGCGACCCTTTGGTTTGCAGGCCCATGCTCAATCCACTGAGCTACACTAGTGGAGGCTATAATGTTTTTAATGTATTGCTGAATTCAGTTTGCTAATATTTTGTTGAGAATTTGTGCATCTGTGTTCTTCAAGGATATTGGCCTATAATTTTCTTTCTTTTTTTTTTTTCTTCTCGTAGTGTCTTTCTCTGGTTTGGAATCAGGATAATGTTGGCTTCATAAAATGGGCTTGGGAACTTTCTTTCCTCTTGAATTTTTGGATTAACTTGAGAAGGATAGGTGGTAATTCTTCTTTGAATGTTTGGTGAAATGTACTCATGATTCTATCTGGTTCAAGACTTTTGTGGAAGGTTTATTTTTTAAAGATTTTATTTCTTTTTTTAATTAATTTTATTTAGTTATTTTTCAAGTACAGTTTTTTGTCTTTTTTTCCCATCCCAGCCTCCCCCGCCCCTTGCTCCCCACCTCCCTCCCATTTCCACCCCCCTTAGTTCTCGTCCCTGTGTCCTTCCTATTTGTTCCTCCAAATCCCTCCCCCTTTTTCCCCTTAACTTCCCTTCCTTCTCCCCTCTGGTCACTGTCCCCTTGTTCTCTATTTCAGTGTCTTTTTTTTTTCGTGCTTGCTTGTTTGTTTTGTTGTTTCTTTATTATTAGAGAGAGGGGAAGGGAGGGAGAAAGAGAGGAAGAGAAACATCAGTGTGTGGTTTCCTCTCATGTGCCCTTCACTGGGGACCTGGCCAGCAACCCAGGCATGTGCCCTGACTGGGAATCAAACCAGTGTCCCTTTACTTTGCCATGTGGCTCTCAATCCACTGAGCCACACCACCCAGGGCTGTTGGAAATTTTTTGATTACTGACTGATCTGTTCAGATTTTCTGCTTCTTCTTGGTTTAGGTTAGTCTTGAAAGATTGTATGTTTCTAAAGATTTACCCATTTCTTCCGGATCATCCAACTTGTTGACATATAATTATTTATAATATTTTCTTATACTTCTCAGTGTTTTGGTAGTGTCAGCTGCCACTTCCCTTTCATTTCTGATTTTATTTACTTGAGTCCTCTCTATTTTTTTATTGATGAGTCTGGTTTAAGGTTTATCAATTTTGTTTATCTTTTCAAAGAACAAGCTCTTGGTTCATTGATCTTTGTTATTTGTTTACTTCTGCCCCAATTGTTTTTTATTCTTGCTTCTACTGACTTTGGGCTTTGTTTGTCCTTTTTTCTCTTGTTCCTTTAGGTATAAGGTTAGATTGTTTATTTGATATGTTTCTTGTTTCTCAAGGTAGGCCTGTATTGCTATGAATTTCCTTCTTGGAATTGCTTTGGCTACACCCCACATATTTGAGGGTCATTTGTGCTTTCATTCTTGTTTATCTCAAGGTATTTTTTTTATTTTTTAATATTTTATTTATCTTTTAGAGGGGAAGGGAAGGAGAGAGGGGAGCTAGGTATTTTTTTATTTTTGTTGATCTCGTTAATCCATTCACTTGTTAACAGCATGTTCTTATGGTTTTTCTAGTTTTTTTTTCTTGGAATTGATTTCTAGTTCCATACCATTGTGAACGGATGCTTGATATGATTCCAATATGTTAATGTATTGAGATTTGTTTTGTATCCTAACATGTAGTCTATCCTGGAGAATGTTCTAGGTGTGTTTGAAGGAGATGGATATTCTGCTGCCTTACCATGTAATGTTTCACAAATATCAAGTAATCCATCTGGTCTAATGTGTTATTTAAAGCTTATATTTCCTTATGGATATTTTTGTCTGGATAATCTGCTTCTTCTTTTTAGAGAAGTCTCTTTTTTGAAAATATATTTTATTGATTATGTCATTACAGTTGTCCCATTTCCCCCTCCTCATTCCCCTCTACCCTGCATACCCCCTTTCCCCCATTCCCCACTCCTTTAGTTGATGTTCATGTGTCACAAGTTCTTTAGCTTCTACATTTCCCACACTATTCTTGCCCTCCCCCCTGTCTATTTTCTACCTATTGTCTATGCTACTTATTCTTTGTATCTTCTCCCCCCTTCTTCTCCTCCCACTCCCCTGTTGTTAACCCTCCATGTGATCTCCATTTCTGTGGTTCTGCTCCTGATCTAGCTGTCCTCTTAGTTTGCTTTTGTTTTAGGTGTGGTTGTTAGTAACTGAGTTTGCTGTCCTTTCACTGTTCATCTTTTTTATCTTCTTTTTCTTAGATAAATCCCTTTAACATTTCTTATGATAGGGGCTTGGTGATGATGAACTCATTGAGCTTGACCTTATCTGAGAAGCACTTTATCTGCCCTTCTATGCTAAATGAAAGCTTTGCTGAACAGAGCAATCTTGGATGTAGGTCTTTGGATTTCATAAGTTGGAATACATCTTTCCAACCCCTTCTTGCCTGTAAGGTCTCTTTTGAGAACTCAGCTGACAGTCTGATTGGAACCCCTTTGTAGGTGACTGTCCCCTTATCTCTTGCTGCTTCTAGAATTCTCTCCTTCATTTTAATCTTGGCTAATGTAATTATGATGTGTTTTGGTGTGTTCTTCTTTGGGACTCTCTGAGCTTCCTGGACTTCCTGGAAGTCTATTTCCTTTGCCAGATTGGGGAAGTTCTCCTTTATTATTTATTCAAATAAGTTTTACACTTGTTGCTGTTCCTCTTCCCCTTCTGGTACCCCTATAATTTGGATATTGGAATGTTTAAAGATGTCCTGGAGGTTCCTAAGCCTCTCCTCATTTTTTTGAATTCTTATTTCTTCATTTTTTTCTGGTTAGATGTTTCTTCCTTTCTTCTGGTCCACTCCATTGATTTGAGTCCCAGTTTCCTTTCTATTGCTATTGTTTCCCTGTGCATTTGCCTTCATTTCACTTAGTGTAGACTTCATTTTTTCATCTAATTTGCAACTAAAATCAACCAGTTCTGTGAGCATCCTGATCACCAATGTTTTGAACTGTGGATTCGATAGGTTGGCTATCTCTTTGTCACTTAGAAGTATTGGCTCTGCAGTTTTGAGCTTTTCTTCTGCTTGAGCCATAATGTTTTGGTCTGTTCATGCCTGTTACATGTGAGGGGTGAAAGCTTAGGTGTTCAGGAGGGTGGGTCAATCCAGTCACTGGGTTGTGACTGGGGGCAGGGCCAGAGAAGGAGAAATGGTGTCTGTTCCACTCTCTCTCGTATTTCAGTACCTCTGCCGCTTCCCACAAGCAAATTGGGCCCCTCTGGTGCTGGTTCCTGGGTGGGCCAGCTTGTGTACATTCTAGGACCTTGTGGGTCTCTCCAACAAACTCTTCTGTGAGGCTGGGAGCCTCTCCTGGCACCTCAACCCCAGAAAGTTTTTTCAATCAGTGCTCTTAAGCTTTATTTCCCGGTGCTGGGGCACTGCATGGCACAGTCTGTCTCACTGTCTATTTTTCCACCTGGTTTATTTGTGCGTGAATATGTGACTGTGGTCAGCCAGCCACCTTGCGCCCTCACTGGGTCTGCCCATTGCCACCCCTCACCTGGGATCTGCCAACCACCGTCTGTGTGCCTGGGTTGGTCCGGCAGCCACTGCTTTTCCCTGCTGTGACCCCTCTCCACTGGCTGCCAACTCTACCCCTCTTACTGGTCTGGATGGATAGTTCGTCATTGTCGGACTTCTGTACAGTTCAGTTTTCTGTCTGGTTTGGTTGTGTTTTTGTTTCTAAATCTTGTTGTCCTTAAATTTGGTTGTACGCAGAGGTACAATGTTTCCTCCTACTCCTCCATCTTGGCTGGAAGTTCATAGAGAAGTCTCTTTAACATTTTTTATAATACTGGTTTGGTGATGAAGGACTTCTTTATCATTTTCTTCTCTGGGAATCTCTTTATCTCTCCTTTGATTCTAGTGATGGTATTGCCTGATTGAATAATCTTAATTGTAGGTCCTTGCTTATTATCACTTTGAATATTTCATGCCAATTCCTCCTGGTTTGTACTGTTTCTGTTGAGATATCAGCTGACAGTTTTATGGGAGCTTCCTTGTGTGCATCTACTTTTCTTTTATTGTTTTTGAGATTCTCTCTTTTCTTTTTAACCATGGCATTTTAATTGAGATGTGCCTTGGTGTGGACCTTTCTGGGATTATCATTTTTGGGACTCTGCGCTTTCTGGATTTGTATGTTTATTTCCTTTGCCAGATTAGGACAGTTTTCAGTCATTATGTTTTTTCAAGTAGGGTTTTAATCCCTCATTCTCTTTCTCCTTCTTACACCATTATGATGCAAACAAATGTATGCTTGATGTTGTCCCAGAGATCTCTTAAACTATCCTTATTTTTAAAAATTCTTCTTTTGTTTTTCTTTTTGGGTGTTTTCTACTACCTTTTCTTCCAGATCACTGATTTGGTTCACTGCTTTATCTAACATGCTGTTGACTCCATATAATGTATTCTTCATTTCTGGCTGGTCCTTTTATGGTTTATATCTCTTTGTATAGGAGATTCTTACTGAAGTCCTCTGTTCTTTCTCTAAGTTCATTGAGCATCTTTATAACCAGTGTTTTGAATTCTGTACATGGTAGATTGCTTGCTTCCATTTAGTTTAGTTCTTTTTCTGGAATGTTGTCTTGTTTAATTCATGACATGTTTCTTTTTCTCCTCATTTTGATTACCTCCTGTGTTTGTTTCTATGTATTAGGTAGATGCCCTATATCTATCAGTCTTGGGAGGGTCACCTTATATAGTAGGCGACCCAGTGTCATAGTCTCCCTGGTACTTGAAATGAGTATTCTAGAGCTGTCCCTTTTGTGAAGTGTGTGTGCCCTCCTGATGTAGTATAATTTTGATTTTTGTTGGCACACCAGTTTGTGGTATTGACCCTCAGACCAGCTGGGTATGAGGGCTGGTCATGACTACAGCAGACAATTTATTGTGTGGGGCTGACCTGACAGAGCAGTGTTCATTTTTGTGGAGTTCTTTTGTCTACTGAGTCCACCCTTTTGGTGTGTCACTTGTGGAGCTAATTGGTTGGTGCTCTGGTGTGGTTTGAAGGTGGCCACTAGGTATGTTGTTTCTGGGGTCTCCTGAGAGGAGCTTTAGTGTTGGATAAAGTCAGATGCTGCCTGCCTGGCCCAAGGCCACCTGATAGGAGCTACTACAAAATGATCTGTGGCTGGTAGCTCTTTCTGTGGGTTTGGAGGCATCTGGAAGTGGTTATGCTGTGAACCAAGTGTACCTGTCACTCATGGTAGATTTGGGGCTGCTTAGCTAGAGGTGTAGGGCATGAAGAAGGCAGCCACTGCTTGTTTGGGGTTGTAAATCTTTGAGAGATTTTAGGAAGGTCCACAACTCAGGCTGAACCTGACCACTTATGGAAACAGCTATGGAAAGAGGGTAATGCTCAAAGAGAGTTAAGTGGGGTAGGGTCTCAGTGAATTACCCAGCAGGGGCAATTGGAGTTAGCCAGGTTGATGGAGACCAGATGTGGTACCCACCTCTGTCTGAAGGCTGGTTATGGGGAGGGCTCAACAAAAGAACAATGGCACCTGCCAGCTCTTCTGTCTAGGAAAGAGCTACCCCTTCAGCCCCCACCCCAAAGCCAGTCAATTCAGTTCCTCCCATTTGCCCCTGGTGCTTTTCAAGATGCTGTCCCTTCACTGGAGTTTAGAACAAGTTGTAAGCAAATGGTTTTGTGCTCAGGTCACTTAAGAGGATGCCTGGGTTCCAGAGCAGATGAATTTTTTAGCCTGAAAAGTAATTTTTTTTCTTGAAGTCTAAAAAACAAACACATAACAAACCAACTAATTGCAAATATGATTGAATTTTTAAAATTGAATTTAATGCAAAACCTAAGTATTTGGAAATAAATATTTCATATATTTTCTACTTATAAAAAAGAGGAGCCCTGTGTCACACTTGGATGGAATCCCTGCTGATTTTCATGGACAGATGTTGTGGTGACTCCTCTTCCTGGCACTGGTGCTTGGGGCTGGGGAGCCTGTTGCGAGCCTGGGACCCCTAAGTGTAGACCTTCATGGCTGAGATATACTTCTCAATTCTTAATCACCACATGTGTGTGTGGAACCAGCCTGTTCTCCATCTATGTCCCTCTTGCCAGTCTTGATGTGCCTCCTTTCTGTTCAGCTGGTCTTCAGGTGGTTCTCAAGGGTTGTTCTATAATTTAGTCATAGTTTTCATGTGGTCATAGGAGGAGGTGAGCACAGAGTTCATTTTAGGTAGGCTTTATTTTTATTATTCTAAGTTTACAGATGAAGAAACTGAGGCACGGAGAGTTAAAAGAAACTTGTTTAAGGTGATAACTTATTGAGTGGTTGAGATAAGATGCATTCATCATCAATTCACTATCTTAAGAGGATATAAACAAGGTAGGCAGGATGTGGGATGGTGGGAATAAGGACTATAATCCTGTTAGATGCAGATGAATGAAGGTGACCTTGGCTAAGGCCATACCATTGTCCCTGCCACTGGAGGTCAGTGGGGTTTGCTTTCTTCCACTCCTGAGCTGTGGCTCTGGCCTCATTCTTTTTACTTTAATTCTCCACAGATATCACTTTTAGAAAATATCCTTTAACTTCCAAATTTTGCTACCACAATATTTCTTTTAAAAGTCTTTTCTGACTGCTGTGAGTAGTATTTTTTTCTTATTGATATAAATAGTATCTCTAACAGGAGCAATCTGTGTCAACTTGCTAAGGATGAGAAGTAAACCCACAGACCCCACTATACTGGCCTTGCATGTGTTTTTCCAGCCAAAAGAGATTCTTAAGTTTCGAGCTCTTTTCACTTTCCCTGGAAAATTATAAATTTTCTAGGTTACCTTATAAGCCATCAGAAAAATATCGTTTCCTCAGGCATCATTCATACTTTTTAGCAACATTCCACGTTTTATTTACAGAACTCTGGAATTGATTACAGAGACATTTTTTTCCAGAATGGCACTCCAGGAGAAACTGAAATGTAAAACTTTTGACTGGTATCTGAAAAATGTTTATCTAGCCCTGAAGCCAATCCCCAACATCATGGGCTATGGAAGAGTATGTATTATGAAATTTAATTTCAGATTTTAAATGTTTGACTATAACAGACAATGAAACCTGAATTGCAAGACTACCCAGAAAAAGGTTTCCAAACTCCATCCTGCCCAAGATTCCTTTCCTATCCCCAACTCCTTCCTCAGCTTTTTGCCCTTGGGCCCTCTGAGTTTCCTTTTATCTCTTGCTCCCCAGAACCCCTCTTCCTTCCTACTCTTTTACTTTGTAAACTACAGCCCAAGCTCTGACCCTCTCAGTTTCTCAGCCAATCAGGATGTTTGGCCTTGCCCACCTGAAGAAGGCATGATTGCCCCTTCTCTACATGTGCTGGGATGGATCAAGGGGGTGGGTGTTCCCAGGAGGTTGGTATCATATCAGTGCCTCACTTCAGCATTTGCCTAGTGCTTAGAAAATTGCTGCCAGGATACTAAACTGCTGGTTCTTTTAGGGGGTCATTTCTGGCACCCTTGGAGAACCAGAGAAAATGCAGGGCCTAGGGAGGCTTGACAGCCCTCTGTCTCTGATTCTTTCCAACAGTGTTTTCAGAATAAAAACCTATTGGGTGAACATATCTGCCTGTACCAGGGACCTATTCCAAGCAATACCCCCATTATGTATTACTGTAATGAATATAGTCCATAAGTATCTTCCACAATCTTCTTTGCCCCGATAGGATGAGTCTGATAAGGCTCAGCCCATAGCAATCTTTGCCAGATTTGGACTCAGTGTTAGATGATGGGGAGGAAGGAGCTCAGCATCCTGGGTAATGAGTCATGGTAAAACCCAAACCTGTACTTATAACTAAGGACTTCCAAATTCATTCAAAAAGTCATGACAAGACAGTTCTATTTCAGGTACAGGTAGGCTATGTAGAAAGGCTCTGATCTGTTGTATTCATTCTCTATGGTAATATTTTCATTGACGATAACTTTCAATCCCCTTTCCCACCTCTTCACACTACCTCCCTGTACCGTCCAGCTGCTCCTGTGTGCCCAGAAGGTAGGCACCTGAACAGAGGGCTAGAGAAGAGACAAGCTAAATGGAAATCCCTCCAGGGAATAGAAGTGATCAGGCACCAAGTGAAAGATGTAGCCAAGGGAATTTTTTTCCCTGAGACTACTCACATCTGTCATGTTACTTTGCACATTGCCCTCATGGAACCTTTTGAGGGATGCAGGATAGATAGCATTTCCATTGACCAATGGAAAAATCTGGTACACAAAACAACCTACTTGTTCAAACTCACTGAGCAAGGCAGGATCAGAATGAAAATCTGAAAGGTTTCCTGACAACAAAATCATGGCTGAGGCTTACAATAACACCTTATGCAGTTCAGTTGTGTGTGTGTTTTTCCCCCAAAGATAAGCTCGCTTATCCATGCAAACCGTGATTCAGTTAGGCTCCCTGCATGGTAGGAAGCAGGCTAGTGCTCCTTCCTCTTGTTTGGTCTTCTTCCTAAAATCAACTAGGGATGGGAAGAAAGAAGCAGAGGGTGTTTCCCATGGTGACTGAGTGTCTAGGGGACTCACAGGCAGTCTTTATGTCCACTACATGGTCAAGGGTGTCCCCACTGACTGTCCATGGCAGACCCTTTTGCTGTCTTTTAGAATGTCTGCTACCACCTAACTGGGGAGTTGTACATGGGACAACTGATTTCTGAGACGTGTTGATGATCACTGTCTGATAGACCCTGGCAGTGGGAAGAAGCCCACTTTAGAGACATGTTCCATGGCAGCCAAAAATAGACTACACATATATTGGGATTTTAAACCAGTGAGTCACATGTTTTTAAAAGGGTAGATATATTCATATATAATCTGAGAGGTTCAGATATGATTTGATACTATTTTAGAAAGGTTCATTTTGTGGACGTGTATAAGGAAAACACTGGAAACAGGGAACTGGATGTGAAATACTGAGTCTGTTGACTAAGTGGGAGGGGGTGGCTAAGGAAAAGAAATATGGAATCTGTTATAGCTTAACAGTTAAGAATTTGATTTAAAATCATAGTTCAGTCACATTTAGCAATTTTATTACCTTCTATGAGACTCAATTTCCTCATCTATAAAATGGAAACGATAATAGCAGTGGTTTGGGAGGATTAAATGAGATAATGTTTGTAAAACATTTTTGCATAGTGCCTGGTACATAAAGAGTATTCAATAAATATTAGTCATTGTAATCAGTTTTATTTTTTAAATGATAATCAGAAAATGTAGAGCAATAGGCTGAAATTTCATGGGGATTATATAAAAGTATTTTTAAAAATTTATTTATTTATTGAGAGAGGAAGGGAGGGAGAAAGAGAGGAGAGAAACATCAATGTACAATAGATACATCAATATGTTGCCTCTCACACACTTCTGACTAGGGACCTGCCCTAAAACTGGGGACCTGCATGTGCTCTGACTGAGAATCAAATCAGTTATGTTTCGGTTCGCCCACCGGCGCTCAATCCACTGACCCACCCTAGCCAGGGCTGAAAGTCTTGACTTTCACTTTGGTACCAATTGACCAAGAACAAGGTGGAGGGAATCTGGCAGAATTTATGTGACAATGATATGAGGGTCGTCTATGTGTTTATGTGTGAATTTATTATGTGATGGGGCTGCATTAAGCCACATTGGCAGGGCTGTGATGTCCTGATGGAGGGAGGCAATGCTTCATCTGTGAACACACCTCTGAGCATGTTGGTTTGTATTAGGTTCAGAAGCCACATATAAAAAGACACGGAAAATCTAACTTAGGAATTCCTAACTTAAAGCTAATTACCACTGAAAATCTGCTGCAAGCTATGGACTGTGTCCAGAAAAACATATATATGCATATATGTGCACAATTCTGTTTACAATTTCAGAGGGTTTTTGAATCATAGATTAGGTCTCTCAGAACTAGATGACACCAGTGAGAAGGAGGAAGAGAGTAGTCCTGTCTTCCTGCTCTAAGCTCCCAACTGTATGGAAATACATATAATTCTACTAAAGGTCATCCTCCCTCTTATCTCAGGCACTTTTATATGCATTGTTCCCTCCTTTCCCACATCTTCACTGGGCTAAATGCAAAGTGTTTCTCTGGATTTTCCATGTGTTATAGGGTCCTGTTAATTTTTGTAGGCAATTATCTGTTCTAATTGCCTAATCACTTGCTTCTTGCTATCACTAGGCTTTAGGTTGGAGGACAGGGCCTGGGTTTTGTTTGTTGTTTTCTCTCTAGCATCTAACACGGTGCCTGAAAATTTGCAGGCATTCAAGAAGTGGTGGCAGAGACCTAGGAAGCCAAGCCAAGGTTTAGTGTTTTGCATGGTGTCTGGTACATAGCAAACACTTTGGTGTGGAGTTCTGGCCAAGATGGGGGCGTAGGTAGAAAGCTTTTGCTTCCTCACACAACCAAAAGGAGGATAACAGCCAATATAAAATAAATAAACAACCAAAGCACCAGAAAATCAAACTGCATGGAACTCCGATGGCCAAGGAATTAAAGAAAAAATCAACCAGAACAACCAGACTGGTAAGGCGGCAGAGTGCACAGGCTGACTCAGAAAAATTGGAGCAGACCAAATGGGCAGGGCTGGCTGCTGCGAGGCAGTTGGCTGCTTAGGCAGGGCTAACTGAAGGCAAAACTGAGACTCAGAGTTGTCTGTGGGCTACAGTGGGAGAAACTCCTAGACTCACAGGAGAGACTGTTGGAAAGTGCGCTAGAAATGAGCAGGTGAGCCTCACTCATTCCCTTTCTGGCTCCTGCCCCACAGGCAGCCCCACAGCTCAGCAAGGAGGGTTGCCTTGCCCTGGAGAGTACCTAAGGCCCCACCCCCTTACAACTTATCAGGGGCACCAAGGCAAAGAAATGTGGCCCAAATGAAAGAACAGAACATAATCTCAGAAAGAGAACTAAGTGAGGAGGAGATTGCCAACCTATCTGATGGAGAATTTAAAGCCCTGGTAATCAAAACACTCACAGATCTGATTGAGTTTGGTCAAAAAATATAAAAACAAGTGAAGGATACCCAAAGTAAAATAAAGCAAAATATTCAGGGAACCAACAGCAGCAGGAAGGAAACCAGGAGTCAAAGCAATGATTTTGAACAAAGGGAAGAAGTAAACATCCAACCAGAACAGAATGAAGAAACAAGAATTCAAAAAAATGAAGAGAGGCTGAGAAACGTCTGGGACAACTTAAAACGTTCCAGTATCCGAATCATAGGGGTTCCAGAAGGAGAAGAACAAGAGCAAGAAATTGAAAATTTATCTGAAAAAGTAATGAAGGAGAACTTCCCCAATCTGGCCAAGAAAATAGACTTCTAGGAAGTCAAGGAAGCCCAGAAAGTCCCAAATAAGTTGGACCCAAAGAGGAACACACCAAGGCACATCATCATTAAGTTATTCAACATTAAATATAAAGAGAGAATCCTAAAAGCAGCAAGAGGAAAGGAGAGAATTACCTGCAAAGGAGTTCCCATAAGACTCTCAGCTGATTTCTCAAAAGACACCTTGCAGAAAAGAAATATTTGAAGTGATGAAAGAAAAGGAGCTACATCCAAGATTATTCTATCCAGAATAATCTTGAATGGAATCTAGAATGGAAGAGCAAATAAAGTGCTTCCCAGATAAGATCAAGTTAAAAGAGTTCATCATCACCAGCCCTTACTGTATGAAATGTTAAAGGGACTTATTTAAGAAAAGAAGATGAAAAATGTGAACAGTAAAATGACAACAAACTCACAACTATCAACAAATGAACCTAAAGAAAAGAAAAACAATGAAAACAAAAACTAAGCAAATGACAAGAATAGGGACAGAATCAGAGAAATTGACGTCACACAGAGGGATTTCAGTGGGGAAGGGGGAAGGGAGAAATGGGGGGGGAAGGTACAGGGAAGAAGAAGCATAATTAGTAGGCATAGAATAGATGGGGAGAGGTCAAATATGGTATAGGAAAGAGAGGACTCAAAGAACTTATGTGTATAACCCATGAACATGAAATAAGGGGGGGTGATGCGGGAGGGTTGGGGGGCAGGGCAGAGAGAGGATAAAGGGGGAAAACTGGGAAAAACTCTAATATTGTAATCAATAAAAAATACTCAAAAAAAGAGAGAAAGAAATGGTTGCAGAACAAATAAAAGATTGGCAGACCTGGAGGTATTGGCTAGGGGAGAGGTGAATCTAGAGAAAAGGTGATGATGTGTTCATGAGAAAGAGGAAGTGGACTTGTTCAGTGTCCACAGGAGGGCAGAACTAAGACCACTTGTTGGAGATCAAGGAGTTTGATTTTACAATGGGCAAGGGGAGGACTTTCTAACAGTCTAATGGCTTAAGCTCTCCTACAAAAGAATATCTGGAAGGCCTAGTGTGGATAATGTAAGTTTTTGACATCCTTAATGGTATCTTTTGATTGCAGAAAATTCAACTACTGGTTTATTTTTGTTTAAAAAGTTAATATTCAATTTATTGAACTTATAAATTAAAGAACTCTAGTTTTTCTTTAAGCTTTTATGTTCTGCTTACAAATCTGACTTTATCTATAAATCTATCAAGTTCTAACGATTGCTTTTTAAGTGTCTAATCTATATGACTTTTATTTTTCATGTCTTATTATATTAGCTGTTCTAGTACTGTGTTGATTAAGAGTGGTGAGAATGAGCATACTTGCCTTGTGCCCAAATGTAGGGAGAAAGCATTGAGTCTTTCATCATTAAGAATAATATTAGCTAGAAAATTTTTTGTAGGTGCTCCTTATCAATTGAAGTAATTTCCCTGTGTTTCTTTTTAAGAATTTGTTTTACAAATATGAGTTGGATTTTGTCAGATGCTTTTTCTGCGTCAATTGATATGATCATGTTGCTTTTTCTTTGGCTTAGTGACATGATGTATTACACTAATTTTCAAATGTTGAACCAGTCTTGTATATCAGGAATAAATCACACTTAGTTATAGTGTATACTTTTTACATACTTTGCTGGACTTGTTTTGCAGGTGTTTTGTTGAAGATTTTTGTGTCTAAGTTCAGTAAAGATAATGGTCTGCAGCCTTTTTTTTTTTTTTGGTACTGTGTAGTTTTAGTACTGGCCTTAAAGAGTAAGAAATTGTTCCCTCTTTCTATTGATAAAACTTATGCTTTTGACAAAAATTACAGAATAGAACAATTTCTGGAAGAGATGTTTACTGGACAATATTGTCTTAAATTGGTGTACAACAAGGCACTAAAATTCTATCCAATATAATCCTTCTTTAAAATGTTTTTTTGCCTTTGATTTCTTTTTTTTCTCAATAATTTTATTTAGTTATTTTTCAAGTACAGTTTTTTGCCTGTTTCTCCCATCCCAGCCCCCCCACCCCGTACTCCCCACCTCCCTCCCATTTCCACCCCCCCCCCAGTTCTCATCCCTGTGTCCTTCATATTTGCTTCTCAAAATCCCTCCCCTTTTTCCCCCTTAAATTCCCTTCTTTAAAATGTTTAGTATACTTATTCAGTGAAACGTTATGGGCCTGGAGAATTCTTTTTCGTGAGTTTAAATTATAAATTGTAAAAACGTTTTAATGGTACAGGACTATTCAGATAATTTATTTTGAGTTTTTATGATTATTCATGATGATTGAGTTTTGGTTGTTTATGGTTTTTGAGGAATTAGCTCCTTTCTTCAAATTTATGAGGATTAAATTATTCGTAGTGTTCTATTTATTTTTTAACATTAAGATATAATTGATATATTACATTACATATTTCAGGTGTACAACACAATATACATCATTTTTGTGTATATTGCAAAATAATTGCCA